CCCCCCACCTGCGCCCGTGCCCGGGCTCTGACCTGTCCCGCCCGCAGCGCCAGCTGCACGGCCAGCTCGGCGCACTCCCGCCACGGGTCCGCCGCCGCCGCCCCGCCGGGCTGCATGCTCGCTTGGGCGCTGCACCGCCACTGCCGCCGCCGCCGCCTCTCTCCTCCTCTTCCCCCTCGCGCTAGCGCCGCCTCCCCGAGCCCGCCCGGGGGGGCCCTTCGAGGGCTTTGCTGCGCCCCGCTCGCCCGCCTCGCTTCGCCCTGCCCCGCTCGGCCTCCGAGACAGCCCCACCCTTGCCGTGACATCGCAGGGGTGGCAGCACCTCGCCCCGGCCTCTTGTGGGCCCGCCTCCCCCGTTGCCTTGGGCGGGCTGCAGGACTCGGCTCTTTCCTCAGGCTTCGCGCCAGGCTGTGACTTGGGCCCCGCTGCCCCCTCCAGGGAAAGCCGCTGGAAACCGCTCTCCACATGCTCAAGCACTAACTTAGAGCTGGCTGGCTCTTTTCATAGCGGGGCAGTCCTTTTTATGGGGTGCTGAGTGCTTTGCGCCCCTGGCCGGTACACATTTATTGCAGGCTTCGCCCATTGCATGACAGTTACTTTGCAGGGGTGGCTGGTCTTACTTTGTACATGTGACAGGCCTACATTTCTTGTGCACTTAAGGTAGTTGTGTGATAATAACTTTGCACGTGTGGCAGGTCTACATTTATTGTGCACTTCAGCAGTTAGTTGTGTGATGATTACTTTGTACTTGTGGCCAGTCTTACTTTGCACCTGTGGTGGGTCTCCACTTATTGCGTGCGCCACAGTTAGTTGTGTGATAATTACTTTGCACTTGTGGCTGGTTTTACTTTGCACATATGGCCAGCATAGATTTATTGCACAGGTCACCAATTAATTGTGTAATATATGTAATGTGTAGCAGGGGCTCTCGGGGTAGTGACAGGTGATTTCACTACTCTGCAAGATATTTTTCAGTGCCTTTTCAATGCTTGCCCACTAAGAACCTTATTGGAGAAAAGCTTTCTAACTCAGGGGTGGGCAAAATGTGACCCAGGGTCCAGATGTGGCGCACCAGACCATTCTATCTGGCCCACCGGGCCCCTAAAAAATTTAGAAAATTAATATTAATCTGCCCTGGGCTGCCTGTCATGCAGCCCTTGATGGCTTGCTGAAATTCAGTAAGTGACCCTCTGTCCAAAATAATTGCCCACCCCATTCTAACTAGTACTTCTAATAGTAATTCTAATTGGTACACATTTGAATGTCATAGTAAGCCCTCGATACATTTATTAGAATCAGTACATTATTTAGTATGCATATCGTTTCTGAAATAGGTGTAGTGTAATTGCTACTGTACTTTAGCCACAAACTTATTGAAAGCTATTTCACTGTGGTTTAGCCATCTCTCCCTCTCAAGACTTTAGCTGCCCTAGGCTAACTGGAGGAGGTATGCAACTTGCACTATGAACACTCCCTAACATTTTGCTGCAGTGGGTAGCTGAATATTCTGCCCATATGGTTGGGTTATTCTGTAAAGATACTGTATACACTGTATAATCCTTAATGTGGAGGGCTAACACTTGCAAATGGGACAGAGACAAAAGGACAAAAACTGCCAAATGAATGATTGCTAATCATTGTTTTAGCCATGCTAGGCTATAATATAAATTAGTAGTAACCATGCTACTGAAGAATAGGACAATTAGAATGTGTAACAACTAAATAGAAGATAGTGCACTCATCACATCCAGGAATTTTTTTTTGGTAATTGCAGAATTCAGATATACGTGTTTGACGTGAGTATTCATGCCTACCTAGGTTTCACTCAGTTGTCACTGCTGCACATTATAGTCATTTGCTTTTATTCTGTGACAAGAGGAACAGAATTCAAAACTTACCATTTCAACAACTCAGGCCTCTACCACATAAATGAAACAGACAAAATCAGTGTAAGAATAAGGACACACATGAACAGTTTGAATCCCATCAGAGGACAGTGGTATGCCTGTGTGGGGACGCACACACATACACAGGCACACACACAACCTACTCCAAATACACAATACTGAAATTGCTGAGTGAGAAGAACCAGTACAATGTCTTGGGTTTTTTCACCTTTAAACTTTCCAAATTATTTCTTGGGAGGCGTTCTTTTTAATAGGCTCAGGAAAAGAAAGCTGAATGGTTGAATGAGCACAGAGTATGACCTAGCCTGATATCTTCTTGGGAAAGGGTTTAAACACATCTGATGTGTGGAAATGGTCGTTGTCATTCTGTACTTCTTCTGTGGTTAAAGGGTTTATTTTTCTGGCTATCAATTTGATGATGTTTCAATATTGATTATTTTCAGCACCTACTAATCCTGGAAGTTCATGGAAGTTTTGCCACTGATTTTATTGGGAGTTGGATAAGGTTTTATTTCAGATATCCCTGTAGATTCACTATGAACAATGTACTGTGGAAGTACTAGGTCTTGCTTTATTTAAAAGTGGAAAAGTACTGCTGCAATGTATACAAAATACATTTACTATGCCAACTGTAAAAACCTGGGACAACATCCTATTTAATTTTACATGCCCAGCCAAGAGTTACCCAGCCACCAAAAATCAATTTTTGGTACTTAGGCATAGTTTGGGATCCTATATAATGTGTAGTGTGGACATGTCAGTGTCTAAAAGGTTACTAAGGACACATGGTAGGCTGTGCACATATACACCTCCATACACACATATTTGAGTATAAGTCCTGACACTGTGCTCTTCTAAGAATGGGAAGGGGAGGGGAACATTCTTATGTTCTAGCTTACAGCTGAGTGATTTGGCTATGTGCTCAGGAAGTGGAACACATATCTCCTTATCCAGAGTGTGTTTGAACCTGCATCTCTCTGACTTCATAGCACAGTGCTAGAACCACCACCTCAGGGACCATGCATTATCCAAGAGCCATTGCATCTTATATCTGCTAGTCAATGGGGCTAGGGGCAGACATTTAAAAAGCTTGATCCTGAATTGATTCAATCTTTGCAGGTTAGTCTAACCCAGGGGTGGGTAATTATTTTGGGCAGAGGGCCACTTACTGAGTTTCGGAAAGCCATCTAGGGCTGCATGACAGGCAGCATAGGGCAGATTAATATTACTTTTCTACATTTTTAAGGGCCCCACAGGCCAGATACACATCCAGCCCCCAAGCCACATTTCCCTCACCCCTGGTCTAGCCTGTGGAGCAGAGAGCCCTGTCCAGCCCAGAGAGCATGCTGGGGGGCTCTGACTTAAGTTAAACCAGCAAGGGGTCTGGGACAGACATTGCATAAACTGGTTTGAGCCAAATCAGTTAAGTCTGATACTACATTCAACCAGGTTTATCTCAAACCACTTTCAGCCATTTTCAAACTGGTTTATGTGCACAGAACATCTGTTCTGTTACAGGTTTAAACCATTTTCTGATCACTTAAACCAGTTAATGTGTAATGCCTGTCCCTAGCCTGGGTTAACTGGATGGAGAACAAGAGTGAAGTTTCTGCCTTATTGGGAGTAAGGCTCCAGGCTAGAACTCAGAGCCTGCTTCCTTCTATGGGAGCAGCTCTCTCCCTGAACCACTCACTCTCAAGGTTTGCTTCCTCCTGGACCTTTACAGCTAGGAAAAGGAGAGAAAGGGGAGAAGCTTCAAAAGTAACAATAGAAAAAGTTTTATGTAATATCTTACTTGTGGTCTGGTGACTAGTCTGAGAAGTCAGAGAGTTGTAGGCTCACACCCTATTCCATGAATGAGAACCTAGAACCTGGTGTATCGCCTGCATCTTGGGAAAGCACCTGAGTCATTTGGCTGGAAACCTCTCTTCAGGCTTTTGGCTGGTGGAATTTTTCCCAGCATAGGTATTTACCAAGCTTCATACCTGCATGGCTGGATTGCAGACAATTGTGCATGCTCAGTGGCTATGTGGATGCTTATGTGCCCACACTTCACATGGAGTAGGATCACAAACTGTGGATAAGTGCCAAAAATGGCAGTTAGGCTGCTGGGTAAAGTGAAATAGGATTCTGCCCTAAGTCTGCACTTAAAAAGTCAGACTTAATAGACTGTGCAAAGCATAGAGCAAGTGGATAAATTAAAGTTAGTTTGCAAACACACAATTACATTTCATTCATAAAATGGGGAAAAAAAAGTTTTTTGATTTACATTTTCCAAATGCAGGTATGCTCACTAGTTAGGCATTTCTGTATTAACATCTAGTTTAGCAAACTAATATATGTCTTTCCTAGGTTTCTTTAATCATCTTGAACAAGCTTTTAATTTTTCTTCCATTGCTGAATATACATATTGTATCAACATACCACCTGTTTCAGCAAGAATTAACCTAGTGAGCATGATTAGTCCACCTCTGAGGCTTGTTTCCTGTAGCTATCACATTTTCAAGCTGTTTCCACAAGCAACATCTCTATTTGTGCTGTCTAAGCCTGTTTTGCAAATCTGCTGTTGCAATTGTCTTTTGAAATTAGGTGTGGCATCATACCCAGTAGAAGCAATGTATAAAATGTCATGTGTGTGTGAGGGGTGGGGTCAGAGTCACCCCACATCTGCCCATTTTTCTGAACATCTATTCATGCTCTTTCCAATCTTCAAAATTAATCCTGTCATCTAGTTCTCCACATCAGTTCTGCCCCCAGATCTGTTCTCTCTCCACAGCTGCACCTGTGTTCCTCCTGACGTCCCCAAGAGTCCTTCACCCCAGGCCTGGAGGGGTGCTGATGTGGGGTCTCGTCTTCCTCTTCCCAGGCCCTGGACTGCTGGAATCCTTCTGCACCCTGCCTCCTCCTTCCTCCTCATCCTGAGACTAGCTGGAAAGAGCTAGTCTGCTCTCTGCACAGTCCAGATGAGCTCTTCAGCCCCCACCCCATTTTTATAAATATTATTTCTCAGCTCTGTGACTCACTGTGACCCAGTGCACTCATTCTAAGTAGGTTAACAAGTAGCATGTGTGCTGTCTTTGTACCAAGTTGCTTTGTTTCTTTTCATTCACTACAACTGAAGTCATAGAAATAGCTTGGTCTTGGCAATGTAAGTACTGATACTCCTGAGGAGTTACAGTGTTACATGTCATTACTCTCATCATCACTGTAAAATTGAGAGTCCAATCTTCCATGCAAAGCGGAAAGCTAAGCTTCCTTAAATGGAGTTTGGAAATGTATGGGTCGGGAATGTGTGCACAGTGCACCTTGCTCTTAAATGAGCTTGAAAGAACAGAAGGTCCCTTG